GCTAGAATATGCAGCTGTTGTGTGGTGCCCATATCTTAAGAAGCACATCAACAAACTGGAAAAGGTGCAAAGACATGCTACTAAGTGGCTCCCAGAACTGAAGGGCAAGAGCTACGAGGAGAGGTTAGAAGCATTAAATATGCCAAAACTAGAAGACAGAAGAAAAAGAGGTGATATGATCTCTACGTACAAAATAGTAACAGGAATTGATAAAATCGACAGGGAAGATTTCCTGAGACCTGGCACTTCAAGAACAAGAGGTCATAGATTTAAACTAGCTAAACACAGATGCCGAAGAAATATAAGAAAATTCACCTTCGCAAATAGAGTGGTAGACGGTTGGAACAAGTTAAGTGAGAAGTTGGTGGAGGCCAAGACCGTCAGTAGTTTCAAAGCGTTATATGACAAAGAGTGCTGGGAAGACGGGACACCACGAGCGTAGCTCTCATCCTGTAACTACAGTTAGGTAATTACACTTAGGTAATTACATGTGTGTTCAGGATTGTCTTCCCTGGGGTATTCGGTACTCACTCCTGTTAGGGTCTCTGTCGCTTGAAGTTGACCCCACCCTTGGGGTTGAAAGGGGGTCGTGGGGCTTTCTGTCTTGCCATAAGTATGCAGTGATTGTTGCTGGGTCGGGCGCACTGTGGTCAGCACAGTCTGCACACACGTGGCGGCCACGATTCTCTCTGGAGTCCAGTTTGCTTATTTGTAAAATTTTGAGGGTTTTGCTTTAATTCTTGTTTGGCTGGAGGAGGGTTGTCTAGCTTCCCATTAGATCAGCCTAGATTGGGTTTGGTGGTCCTGTTCTGGTGCCCTCGAGGTTTCACGACTGGTTCTAGGGGTCAGTTTGCCTGGAAGACAGAGTTCAACCGTCTTCGCTAACCCTGTGCCTGGATTCCCAGAAGGATTACTCCTCCTTGCGGACCCTAGAAAACACCTTGGGGCTTGAGGTGACCATGAGCATGTCTTCCAAGTCCTCTCTCACCTTGAGCGAGGTCGTAGGCTGCTTGTTGCCCATGTCTCAGGGTGATGGTCATCCATCCTGCTTCCATCGTGCTGCCTGTTTGGTCAGTGCCACCTGCAACCCGAAGTACAGCGGGATTTGTTTTCTGCTTGTGCTCCTGTTTACCCATTGGGTAAACAGGGTAAACAGGATGGGCGTTGGACTCCGTTCTTCCATCGAGCTCACAGCACTGTGCGAGAGTTTACGACTGTGTGACAGGTGCTGCAGAGGATTTGGATCACTCGGGGTTCTGTGATCTGGCTCTATTCGGACTGCACCCCTGTGGTTCATTGTCTCAACTGGGGAGGATAGGGGGGGGGGGACTCTGCGGTCCATGGCTCTTTGGGGCTGGTCGCTTCGACTGGCTCTTCTGGTGACTTCTCGGAGTTTGGGTCTCCAAGCTGTTCACATTCAGGGGATGTCCAACATTCTGGCAGACGGCTAGTAGTGCTTCATTCCCCCCTTTCCACGGAGTGGACGGTCAATGACACCTCTTCCCTTTCGCTTTGCCGGATGTTTGGGCGCCAGGAGGTAAGCCTCTTCATGTTGATGTGGTCCCCGTGTCTACCATTATACATGGCGCTGGTCCCTGACATCAAGGTCATCATGGTGGATGCTTTGAGGCAGGATTGATCAAGATGGGGGTTCCTGTACCTTCCTCTCCCGGTCCACCTGTTACTCTAGGTGTTGGCTCGGCTTGAATCCTGTTGGGGCAAGTGCTTCTCCTAACCCATGATGGCCGTAGTTTTAGGCTCAGTGCTCAGTGTCCGAACCCGAGAGTTTTTCCGTGGCTCTGCCTCTTTTAGCAGGTTGGGCCGGTGAGATATCTCGCTGGTTTGCCCTACTCCTCCGTTCTTTGCATCTAGTCTTTTTGACATGGGTGTATCGCCATTTATGTGGTGATTGGATGGCTTCCTTGATGACGTCCCACCTGTGGTCTTCCTCTCAGTGACAGTATGAAATCTCCTGGTGGTCTTTCTGCCATTTCCTTTCTCTTTGTAGGGTCTCATCAGTGTCTGTTTCAGTTGTTTTGTCCTTTCTTTCTTGGCTTTTTCATGACCGGCTTCTCACGCCAAATACTGTCGCTTCTTATCATGTGGCATTGGTGAAGCTGCACCAGCTTATGTTTGGGGTGGTTATCACTTCTGCTCCATTCTATGAGCTCACTCGTGCATTTCTTCATCTCCGGGCTTCCTCGTACACCACCTGAGCCTTCTTGGTCTTTAGACTCAGCGCTCTTGTTTCTCTCCTCTCCTCAGTTTGTTGTGGCCCTTCGGTCCATGATTGTTTTATGAAAGCTTTTTTTTTTTTGGCTTAAGCCTCTGGGGGTCGGTTTGGAGAGCTTCATGCTCTTCTTCAGCACAAAGGTTTCTGCTCCTTTGGTCCTGGGGGTCGTTTTGTTCATTTGCAGCCCTCTCCTTTTCTGGCAAAGAATGAGAAGGCAGGCTTTTGGAGGGGTTCATGGGTTGCAGGCAATGAGTCACAATAACAATGTAATCAATCAGAGCTTTAATATAACAATGTGCTTTAATATACTTACTTAGCTCTCTCATCTCATTTTTCTCTTGCAATGTATCTTTATCATTTATCAATTCTGATAGAAATTACCTACTTAAAATTATCTGCTAGATTAAGGACCTGCCCGAAACGCTGCGCGTACTAGTGGCTTTACAAGAATGTAAATACTGTACTATCCAATGTATTCTCACAAACCCAATGTACCTTCTTGTATATATAAATAAATAAATAAATAACGTGGCTGAAGAATGTTGACCAGACCACACACTAGAAGGTGAAGGGACGACAGCGTTTCGGTCCGTCCTGGACCATATCTTGAGGTTATCTTGAGATGATTTCGGGGCTTTAGTGTCCCCGCGGCCCGGTCCTCGACCAGGCCTCCACCCCCAGGAAGCAGCCCGTGACAGCTGACTAACTCCCAGGTACCTATTTACTGCTAGGTAACAGGGGCATTCAGGGTGAAAGAAACTTTGCCCATTTGTTTCTGCCTCGTGCGGGAATCGAACTTGCGCCACAGAATTACGAGTCCTGCGCGCTATCCACCAGGCTACGAGGCCCCTGACCGATTGTACAATCGATTTGAGTATGGTCCAGGACAGACCGAAACGTCATCGTGCCTTCACCTTCTAGTGTGTGGTCTGGTCAACAGGGTTCATGGGTTATTGATGCTTGGTTAGTTAGGCTGGGGGGTGCATCATGCTTTGTGTCCGGTTGCGGCCTTATGTCGCTACCTGCGGACCACTGGTTCACTGTCCATAGATTTTTTTTTTTTGAGATATATACAAGAGTTGTTACATGTACAGCCACTAGTACGCGTAGCGTTTCGGGCAGGGCCCTGGAATACGATCCCCGCCGCGAAGAATCGTTGTTACAACCAAGTACACATTTTTTTCTGTTGAGTTAAACAGAGGCTACAGTTAAGGATTTGCGCCCAGTAAATCCTCCCCGGCCAGGATACGAACCCATGACAAAGTGCTCATGGAACGCCAGGCGAGTGTCTTACCACTACACCATGGAGACTGTAAAGATGCGCCCTGGGTTGTTCTGGTTTCCCCCTGGTTTGCTGTTCCAAGGCTCTTGTTTCTCAGATTGTATGCAGAGTTCTCAAATCTAGCCAGCCTATGGTCTACCCTCGTGCCCATGATGTGAGGAAATATGCTGCTGTATTTGGGAATACAAAATAGTCTTGGGTTGACATTCAAGCACAGGGGTTTTGGATATCGAACAGGGGGGCCTGGCTGCCGTTATCTTGTCATTGTTCTGAGTCCTCTGCGGTCTTGTGTTGCTTTGGGACTTCTGATGCGGCCTGTTGTTGTTTCTTCGTCTAGAGATATACTGTGCTGCCTCCTCCCACATAAGTCCCTGTTTTTACTTTTCTTTGGGTAGATAGCTTCAGGAAGCCAAAGAGGCTCCTCACAGAAAACCAGCGTTGAATGTAATGAAACGCCATTTTTGTGGGTGAGCCCCGGAAGCTCCCTGACACCCCTCCCTCCCTTCCTCCAGTTGGCGGTTTTCATCATTCTACGAACTGGAGGATTGAGCTGCCTGCTTACCTGAGCAAGCTCCCCCTCCCGCACCTGACACGGGGGCACTAACAAGTGGGCGTGCTAGTTGGATGATGATTTGCTTGTTTAATTATTTTATTTTGAGGGGAGTTCTTTGGCTCTGTTTGGATGTAGGTTGCAATTTTCACCAGATGAACATTTGTATTGTTATGCTTACCTTTCTGGGGTATACGGTTGATGGCAGACATGACATACTCTAAATGTAGAGTGCTCATATGGCCACTGCTCCCTTCACCTCTCTGAGGAGGTCAGGTTCTGGCTTTGGGTCCATGGTAGGCAAGAACTCCCATAAATGATATCCCCCAAATTAATATAGCACATATCAGTCTGGATTGCTTCAGGGAGCCTCTGGGGCTTGATGAGAAAATGGTGTTTCATTGCATTCGACGCTGTTTTTTTATGTTTTGCATTATTGTTGTTAATCTTGATATATAAATCATGTTTCATGTGTAGCCAAACCAGAGAGCCAGTAGAAATGTGTCTGAGATTGATGGAGATATGAAACTTACTGAAACATGATTATTTGAACTTCTTTAACATCATAGCTTTGAGGTATTATAATACAGTGGAACCTCGAGTGATGAGTGACTCCAGTTACAAGCATTTCGAGTAATGAGCAAGCCACTCGCAGAAAATATGTCTTAACTGATGAGCTTTCGCTCGATAAATGAGCATTCTCGCTGGTTCTCGGACACCTTCGATAACAGTGTTGTTGTTTCGCAAGACAAGTTTTCCACATGATGAGCTCAGTGCCGGAATGAATTAAATTCGTTAATCGAGGTGCCACTGTATATTTTATTTTGGTAATATTTTACTATAATGTTATTGGTTGTGACAGCAGGTAATGTGGAACATATAAATATGTAAAACCAATTGTAGATACTGGCATTATAGTGTTTCTCTATCATCAGGATCACGTGCCATTAGAGCTGCCGATGCTTGTCATTCTATGTACTTCAATGATTCCACTGCTTCTCATACTACACTAACAAGTAAGTCGAAATAGAGATCACAAATTTAAAATTGGTGTGGAATGGCTGCTAATAGTAGGTGTATTTATTTTCTAGACATTTTTTCTGCCAGTTTTCTGTGGCATGCAGGCAGTCTGTCAGCAGAGTTCCCACATTGATTTTCTGTAATTTCTTTGTTTAATAGTTACTTGAAGGAAGATGGATTTGAATTTACCTGAATTTATTTATTTATATACAAGAAGGTACATTGGAGGTTAACAGAGAACATAGAAATTAAGTTGAATTTATGTTCTTGTAAAATCACTAGCACGCATAGCGTTTCGAGCAAGTCCTTAAACTAACGAATAATTTTTAGATAATTAACAGTAAAATTGACAAAAGATGTTTACAGATAATTTACAGCTTTATTTTACAGGTATAGATAATTTTAAGTACAATAATTACAGTAAAATTGACAAAAAATGTTTACAGGTACATTGCAATAAATTTTGACACAAAAGCAAATTAGAATAATACACAATAATGAACAAGGATTACTAGGTACATTAGGATAACATTTTAATGAATAATGCAGTAGTATATGCACTCAATACAACAACCATGATATCAGATAATATATCTAAGATTACAGTGGTAAAGTAATATGGCTAAGGTACAAATATTGGGGAATTGGGTAACACTAGATACAGTGTGAAGATAAAGCAATAAGTAGAACATTTATGAAGATGAAATTAGGTACTTTTTTGGTTTTATTTTTGAATAAGGCAAAAGTTGGACAGCTTTTCACTTCATTAGGAAGTGAGTTCCATGGACTAGGTCCCTTTATTTGCATAGAGTGTTTACACAGATTAATTAAGTTTGACTCTGAGGATATCAAAGAGATATTTATGTCTTGTGTGGTGAGTATGTGTTCTATTACCTCTGTCCAGGAAGAGTTTCAGAACAGGGGTTGCACTTATGGAAATGGTTTTATAAATGTAATTGACACAAGAGAATGTATGGAGTGAATTTTTATTATTCAACTATGTTTATTACTCAACTTTTTCTTTGATTTCATTTATTACCTAGGTTGCCTAGCCTCTCCATGCTCCCTTACTCCATTGTACCCCTGGCTTTGCCTGTATCTCAAATTGCAAATTGTTACTTACAGTGTACCTGAGAGTACTTGTAAGCAATCTACCTCATTTTTTCTTTTTTTGCTCAATTTGTTTTTGTATTATTTAGTCTTGTTTATATCTTTGTTTTGTATTTCTATATCTTTTGTTTTGTATAGTCCATGTTTATATGTTTTTTCTTTAATCTCATTTATTACCTAGGTTGCCTAGCCTCGCCATACTCCCTTACTCCATTGTACCCCTGTAAGCCCCTTGTAAGCTACCTCATTTTTTTCTTTTGTTGTTCATTTTGTGTTTGTTTTGTACATTATTGTTTACATATTTTTCCCCCTTTTATAGCTTAATTCTACCTTGTAATTTGCCTTTCTTGCATTGTTTTCCTGCAATCAGCTTTTTTATGCAGACAAGTATAGACCCAGAACTAAACCTCTTATCCACTATCTATGACAATCATCACTTTAATGATCTAAATTGCAGATATTTTGCAGCACATGATGTAAACAATGTATTAACTCATAATCACAATATCTCTGTAATCAACTTGAACGTTAGATCCCTAGGTAAACACTTCGATGATGTTAGTGCCTTGATTGAAACTATTGACAACAAATTCTCTTTTATTATACTTACTGAAACATGGTTGAAAGAGGATACTACTCAACTCTTTAACATGCCTAACTACTCGGCAATTCACAACTGTCGTCAACTTCAGAGAAGTGGGGGCACTGCTCTTTACTACCACCAAGAACTAACATGCTTAAAAGAAATTAGAACTAGAGACTGCTATGGGGAGTATATCTTCGCCAGCTTCAGAGTCAAGGGTGCCGAGTCTGTCCTGTCTGTGGGTGCAGTGTATAGAATTCCTAACACTGATGTGTCAGAATTCAACTCAAACCTTAGAAATCTAATACTTGATAACAGACTGAACAAAAACCATCTAATTATCGCAGGGGACTTTAATATTGACCTCTGCGAGCCTGAACACCCTACTGCTGTTAGCTTCCTCAACTGTATGTTCCTAGAGTACAACTTAATCAAACTAGAAATGGTCTACAAATCAAGGGGCCCAGAATGTGGAATGACCTTCCCAACCATGTTAAAGACTGTACCTCTCTCAACCAGTTTAAGATAAAAACGAAGCTATACCTAATAAATTCCCTGTAACCTACCTTACCCCTCTATTGTCAACCAATGTCTGTTTTTTTTAAAGAGCGCTGTTTGTCGACAGAATTGTATTTGTGCTGCTTTTTCAGCTATGTTTTCATTTCTTGTTTTCATTTTACTCTTTATGCTCAATTAGTATTAAGCTTTAGTCATTTAAGTTTTTCATGCCCGAAACACTTTGCGTAATAGTGGCTTTAGGCATTATATGTACTAGCTCTATCTATAAGTCCACCAGTCATTGTAAAAATTTCTTTTATGTATGTACCTTACCTAAATAAACATTTAATTTATTTATTTATTTATTTATTTATTTATTTATTTATTTATTGTTCTGATAGCAGATTTTTTGTTGGGTGATCATGGGCTTGAAGTAGTTAGCAGAGGTTGAACCCTAAGCACAGATACCATAAGTAAGATGGGGTAGATAAGTGCATAACAGAGTGAGAGGAGAGCAGAGTAGGGTACATAATTCTGATCTTTGAGAGCATACCAACTGTTTTAGAAACCTTTTTGGTTATGTGTTGTATGTGAGTGATGAAGTTGAGTCTCTTGTCTAAGTATAGGCCAAGGAACTTTCCATCATTTTTATTGCTAATGTTTACATTATCTGAAGCTGAATTGCATTTATTGATTTGCTTCTAAATAAGATGTAGTAGGTCTTTTCTATGTTTAGTGTGAGTTTGTTGAGTGACATCCACAAGTGGACTTTTTTTTAAGTCATTGTTTATAACATTATTAATTATGAGTGGATTGGGGTCAGAGTAGATGAGAGTAGTATCACCAGCAAACAATATAGGTTTAAGCATGTTAGGGACATTAGGCAGATCATTGATGTATATAAGAAACAGGAGGGTTCCTAGGATGCTGCCCTGTAGCACCCTTACAGTTAGTGGTAGAGTAGGAGAGGTTATATCATTGATGGCTACATATTGGTGTCTGTCACTAAGATTGGATTGGATATAGTTCAAAGCAAGGCCACAGATTCCATAATGGCGGAGTTTAAGTAAAAGGTAGTTATGGTTAACAGTATCAAAAGCCTTTCTCAGGTCAATGAAGAGTTCAATTGGAAACTCACTTTTGTCTAAGGCTGAGTAGATTAAGTCAAGAAGACTAACAATTGCATCATTGGTACTCTTTTGAGAGCGGAAGCCAAACTGGCAGGGACTTAGTATATTGACTTTTACAAGATAGGAGTAGAGCTGTTTGTAAATAATTTTTTCAAATATTTTTGATAGTATAGGTAGATTTGATATGGGTCTGTAATTATTTATGTCTGCCATGTTACCTTCTTTATGAACTGGCATTACTCTTGCTTTTTTAAGGATATCAGGGAAGGTATGATACTCTAGAGATTTATTGAACAGCAAAGCTATGGGTGGTGCAAGAGCATGGGAGGCACTATTGTATACCATCAATGGTATTTCACTAATATTCCCAGCTTTGGTTTTTAGTGAGTGATTGATGGACATAATATCTGTAGGGCTAATCAGTGAGAGGAGAAGAGAGTTTGGATAGCTGCCTGAAAGATAAGTGGTAACATGTGTTTGGGTCTGTGGGATTTTTCGGGCAAGGTTAGCACTAATCGATGAAAAGAAGCTATTAAGTTCAGTGGCTGTTTCAAGATCTGTTGTAGGTGTATAAGCATTCTTGGTGATTTTTATCTGGTTATGTGAATGTTTTTAGCTCCTAGGATGTTAGAAATAGCTCTGCATGTGCTTCTCATGTTTCTTTTTGCTTCTTTGAATCTATTCTCGTAATAGGAACACTATGCTCTTTTTATTATACTGGTAAGCACTGACGAGTAACCTCTTAACTACTTCCTTTGCAACTAGGCCAATCCTAATTTTTTTTCATATTCATGTTTCTTGTCAATTGATTTAAGTATGCCGTTAGTGAGCCAGGGATTGTTTAACCTTTTGCCAATTACTTGCTTGGTGAGGAAAGGACAATAAGTATTGTAAAGGCTTAGAATTTTGGAGAGGAAGAGGCTAGGTAACGAATTTATATCCTGTGTATTATTAAATTCAGATTCCTAGTTTATATTGTGGAGGGCATTTGTGAGATTGCTTATTGCTGCTTCACTGTGTAACCTAAAGGTAATTTTCTTGTTAGCTGGTGGTGATATGGCCATAGTCGCTACAAGGAAGGTAGGATAGTGGTCAGTTGTTCTGTCAGTGATTATACCTGATGTAAGGGGAGCTGTTATGTTGTTCCATAAGTGATCCAGGGTAGTAGCGGATGTTTGAGTGAATCGGGTGGGCCTGGTGATTGCGGGGATGAGTATACAAAAATTCATGCTGTTAAGGAAATAGTCGACTTGAGGGCTATTTTGTTGCCCTAGATCAATATTGAAGTCACCTTCCAAAACTATGTGATTTTTGTTGAGGTTGTTGTTTATGATAATGTAATGGGGGCTATCCCTTAACCTCATTTACTGGTTAATTGCTGGTTGTTATTGAGTAAATATACAGAAACCAGAGTTCTACTGTGTAACCTTCAGTTCAACTCCTCAAGATCTAGGAACATTCGACCGTTTAGATATCACGGCTTGAGAATACTGTACCCTTCTATGCTACACTGCAAACTCTGAATTACACTGCCACCACCTGCTAACCACTGAGTAATTCCCCCCAATTGACAATGAAGCAGGATACCGTCAGTTAGGTATAAAACCCCGAAAATGAATCCCAAGTTATCCGAAAAGGAGGGATAAGGTTTACGTTAAGTGTGGAATTAAATCAAAGTATAAAGGGATTATCAGAGGTATTAAATAACTGCTTGTAGGCTTTGCGAGGG